GAAGATTGAGCAGCTCAAGCATTCTNAGAATGCTTGAGCTGCTCAATCTTCAGATGGTCTGGAAAGTACTACGCTTAAATAAGAGGGTTGTCCCATTGCCAACCCTCTTATTTAAGCGTAGTACTTTCCAGACCATCTGAAGATTGAGCAGCTCAAGCATTCTTTTAAGAGCCCTTGCCATTTTGGCCCATTCGTGGTTTAGTTTTCGGTATTTACTTTTGAATTCCTCCTCAGATGATAGGCGTAAAGCGAAGCATCCTCAAGATGCTTTTTCGTTATCTCCACATCTAGCTGATGAGGAATTACGACAAACTCTCCACCCTTATCACTAACGGAAAGTCTTATGGTTTTCAGCCTTATCAGGTCTCGTACCTCTCGCATGCCACGTTTTTGCACTGGAGTGAGGTTTGAGCTGTATCTTTTCGTGTCGTGCGATAGTGATTAAGGACTTTGAGAGTTTCATTCGCAAACATCCGAAATTTAACATCAACTTCATTATTGGGCTCTTGTTGTCTAAAGAACGTCGGGGGAAATGGTGCTATTGGTAGGGCCCCCACTTGATGTTGTTCGCACCTATTTAGCGCTTCATCTCTAGCTTTTTTGCGGAGTCTATCTTAAAGTTCATGTAAACCACATGCGACCCTACGCAAGGTTATTTTAGAAATGGGTTCAGATGGTGAGAAACTCGGCCCCAATTCTAATAACGAGCGCGCACCGTCAGGGAGAGTTATGCCTCCTAACACGGTTAGTCTTGAATTTTCTAGCACATTACCTAACCTAATGTGATCTGTTTGATGTTCTTTAGCGATATTTTTGTGCGCCATTGAAGCTGTGTTATGTGATTTACTCAAAAGGTCCTCGAACTTTCTTCGCAAAGCTACTTTAGCATTAGACCTAATAGAGTTGCAAATCAACACTGACCCGCCCACTATTCTCCTCCAGAGGTGGTCCTCAAAATATTNGTTTGAGCTGTATCTTTTCGTGTCGTGCGATAGTGATTAAGGACTTTGAGAGTTTCATTCGCAAACATCCGAAATTTAACATCAACTTCATTATTGGGCTCTTGTTGTCTAAAGAACGTCGGGGGAAATGGTGCTATTGGTAGGGCCCCCACTTGATGTTGTTCGCACCTATTTAGCGCTTCATCTCTAGCTTTTTTGCGGAGTCTATCTTAAAGTTCATGTAAACCACATGCGACCCTACGCAAGGTTATTTTAGAAATGGGTTCAGATGGTGAGAAACTCGGCCCCAATTCTAATAACGAGCGCGCACCGTCAGGGAGAGTTATGCCTCCTAACACGGTTAGTCTTGAATTTTCTAGCACATTACCTAACCTAATGTGATCTGTTTGATGTTCTTTAGCGATATTTTTGTGCGCCATTGAAGCTGTGTTATGTGATTTACTCAAAAGGTCCTCGAACTTTCTTCGCAAAGCTACTTTAGCATTAGACCTAATAGAGTTGCAAATCAACACTGACCCGCCCACTATTCTCCTCCAGAGGTGGTCCTCAAAATATTGAGCACAAAAGTTTTCCTTCGTCTCGCACTTCTTCCACTTGGCGAACATCTGGTTTTGTCGGCTTCGTAGACAAGTGCGTAGTATTTGCAATTCGACGTCCAATACTCGGTGACTGTCCTCTGGTAGACCGCATACGTCGTGTAGTCGAAATTCCAGAAATCCGAAAATAAACCGCAGGGAAGAATGCCTCATTATCACGCGTGATATAGGGCAGTATATAAAACTGCTTTTCTGATATGAGGGGCACATCATACTTCCATGTGATTTCTGTGCGGTTGGTCTCTACGTGACATACTTAGTGGAAACCTCATAGGAAGCGGTGAGTGTGCAAAGCTGTGTTCAAAGTGATTGAAATCTGGGTTTGGGGTTTTTTGGTTATGGAGGCGTCTGGCCGAGTAGATTGCTATCAACTTGACCTTTCCAGGCTCTGAGGAAGGCGAAATCCGGCGAAACGTCAGCTTAATCATGAACAAAGAATAATAACACCTCTCGTTTGCTCAACAAAAGTACGAAGAAAATTACTTGATCAATGCCGAGGTTAATAGAAAGTCGGTCGTGGCAGTTACTGCAAATTGTAATGTCGATATTTTTTATTTTAATATTTTTTAACGCTTTCAGTTGAATGAAACGAGAGATTTCTGAGCGTCATGATCTGTGGTTGGTGACGCCTTAAGACAATGAATGATTAGAGTCAATGACTGCTCTTCCCTTGATTTACACTTGCAATGCATGCTTCATATTTCAGCTTATTCTGACAGGTTACACTGACATAACTTCTGAACATCAACTGTTGCAAATCAATGCCGCTTTCTACCGGATAGTTTGTGAAAGAAAAGCTTATTTCTCGGTTAGATTTCTCATCTCGTAACAAAATCCGTTTCTATGAAATGAAACTGCATTTTTCTTGAGAACGGATTACGAATGTCCATATTGTAAGGAAGAGAAGAAGTTTGCGACTACCATATAGGATGGCAGATAGGGTGGTCAGCACGTATAGGATAATATAAAAACTTTTAATCAACAGAAATTTCGAGATTCGCGAACCCCGAACTAACATGGTTTTGGACTAGCTGTCCCTTTTGCCATGACTTGCTAATAAACGCTAGCCACTGCCGGAATTGCTTAATAAAGACGCTACTATGGATAACCAAATATACCACACCTAAAATGCATTGAGCACTATGCATTTGGTGGGAAAATAATACATTTCTCTAAGTTTAAACTAACAGCTCCCACCTCATATCAGATTTCAGATGGAAATCAACAGAATCTACACATCCTCATCTGAAAGATAAAATCCGTCTTTTTCTATCTAGATGAGGCTTTTTGATTTTGGAATCTACGACGTTTTTTCATCTATTCCGATCCAGACTTGTATTTCGGATCTGGAAGCAATTGAACAAGGAGGATTTCGGTCAATAGAATTTGACGCAGTTCCCTAATGAATCGTTGGTTTTCCATGTCCCGCGCGTACGTGGGAAATTTGAAAAATTTAAATAGCTTTTCATTTCTTCCACTATATCAAGAGTATTAAAAATCGAAAGAACACAGTAAGGGACACATACGATTAGAAGATAGATCAAAGTTTTTTCTATAAACCTGCGAGGCTCTCAATTTCTCAACTACTGTAATAATCGGAAACGGTCACAAATAATTGAAAAACTGCAGCATCCGGCCTTTGGTATGGTTAGAGTTTGGGTTTGAAAGCAGGGCAGAAATGTCTGGTTAGAACGATACGGAACGAACAAGAGGGTGGTGACAGAATGAATAGAAGCCCACTGAATGGGAGTGTCCACCGGAAACTGAAACAACCTCCAACCCACTGTTGCAATGACACATCCACAGTTCATTAATTGTTTCTCTTGCTTGAACGACAATCCCAGCCAGATGATATACGGATTCAGAGACAACCATTGAAAATCTTGTTCTGGATTTTTTCGACTAAATAGCAATCTTCATAAGATTTTGAGGACTCCTGATCAGAAGCGATTCCATATAGCACATGGAAAGTGTTTCTAAGAATCTCTGACGCATTGTTGAGTGTTTGTGTGGTTTTTCGTTTGCTAATTGCCGAAACCTGCGATTAGAGGATGTTCTGCCTGGAAAGTTCAGTTAGCTTTGAGAATATTTTACACAATTCCGCTGTGTTAAAAACGTGGACACAATGACAAGGTTGATTTTTAGCTCGCCAAGAATTCATTACGAAACGTTACCAACATGCCGCCTGTCTACCTTCGAACCATTTGTTGCTGAAAATGAAAGACAAACATACTTCAAATCCAGATCCAAGGATCGGACCAGCACTTCCAATATAGAGCTTGTGAGCATCTTCCATGGTTAACTGGGGTAGATCGCTGATCTACAAAAGTGCAATGTAAAGTGTAGTCGCTAAATCCCCAAGATGGATTTCAAATTCAATGTAGAAACACTAATTAAAAGACTAATCAGAAATAATAGACCCATCTACCACATTTCTCGTCATAAATTTAGCTGTACGACAAAGTGTTGTGCTAGTAGATGGTTGTGAGGGATGTGAAACAGCCGAGAAGTTGTGTTGTCTATCAGTAACGTCTTAAGGACAAGAAGAAATTCTATCTTTCCAGCACTGCTAGTGGCATACCCTTATAAGAGGTGCACTGAGGTTATATGTATCGGTTTAGAGAACGTATCCACACAGAAAGGTAGTCATTTCCTCTCCAATTTTGACTTCCTCTCTCGAAAACAGTTATACTAAACTATTTTATAAAACTACAGATGCAGAAGAACTACTAAGAACAATGGAAAACAAGGACGATGAGATAGTCCACTCAAAATTCTAACGAGGTATAAACCTCTAATTCACATCAAGTCAACAAATGTAGAACAGTCAGGGTTTTATTTACAAGAGAGTTGTCATAGTCGTTAATTACAATGGGGAAAGTAAGTTTTTAAAGTGCTTAGCAAATTCGAAAACAAATCAGATTCGTTTTTATGATGACATTAAGCGAAAGCGTCCCGTGCACAGAAAGGCGTCTAGTGTTTAGATGATCTGATCGAATTTTCTAGTTGAGCTAACAAACTCATTTCCAGTCAATCGTTTAACTCCTAGGTGTGAACGGTTGGCAGAAAAGCGGAATGGAGTGACAATGACTATGTAAGGTTTTTTCCTCACGAATACCAATCCTACTATATAAGCGATAACTATGTTTGTGCTTGTGTCGAAATTCCTCTTCCAGCCTCTTTTCCCCTTTTCAGTTGTTGATGGACGAGATTCAGATAGTTTTCCCTAAGAAAACCTTAAAACACCGCGTCAATCAGTGTAGAAAAGCTTGCTAAGACTTATCATTTTGAAAAATTAAAGCAAAAACGGTAAAAACAGTTCATAAAAATGAGTCCGAAGTTTTGGTTGCTCTATTGGTCTACGACTGATTCCAAGCAAAACAGAAGACGAACTTCCCCTTGAGGACGACATGGCTTACGAAAAGAAATACAACTAAAAAAATTAATAAACGACGATTTCTCTATGTCTATGACCTACCTCACGTTCAGCGAAGCGAATACACTTGAAGTAGAGTGTGACCGAGTCCTTGTTCACCTCAAAAGCGATCTGCGTCCACTGCTGCACAAACTCGGGCACGACGAACGAAGCAATCGCGTGCGACGTTGCGTCGCGGCGAGACGAGTAGATCAGCGAGATGTTCGTCTGACCCGATCCTGTGAAGACGTTATCTATTCGCTTATGCATTCCTTCATCTTCTAGATCTCGTTACACACACGCACAGATGATCGCTGTCGTCGTTTATACACCAATTTTTAGTCTTTTTTTTCAGCCGGTAAGACGTTGCTCTATCAATCATTTTTTCAAGCAAGAAAAGTGGGGAAAATATGATAACGGACGTCTTTAGTTGGAAACCTTTGGATGAAGAAGAAGGATAAAGCTTTCGGCATTGATCAATCCTTGAGGGATGTGCCATGTATTCGACTTCATTAAGCGTCGTTTGGAGGTGATTGAATGCATATCAGGCCTTTACAATGACTCTCGGTGGCCTACCGATGTATCGAGCCAGTGCTGCTATCTTCTCAGACAAGTCTAGTAGCAATTTGTTGACCGCGGAAAGATAGAAGGCTTGGTGGAATAGGGGCTGGAATCGATCCCATGTGTTTGACACAGGGCAGACATCTTTGGATAGCAGATAAAATTCATGTTGTAGTACTAATTTAATGACATAAATAACTGCATAAAACTCTAGTGTCAGCTTTCTAAACACACTCGCAACACTAAATTTCCTTCTGTTTTATGTATGAACAACTTATATGATGCGAAATGTGAGTGTATATTGAGCTGATTAGTACCGTCTTTATTAACAATGGTCTTCTGAAGGATTTAGAGGCATGAGAAAACTCGTCTCATTAATTGTTTTGCAAGTTTTGATGTGCAAAAACAGAAAACATATTCAACGGCAATTTCTCAAGTGTGAGTCATACCTGCCCCATATATCGTTAATTTGTCAATGAATACGGAGAAAAGTACACGTGTTGAGACTGCTGACCTGCAGGCTCGAGCAGTACGCCCACGTCGACTAATGTATCGTAGGGATTGACGATGGCGAACAAATAGCCCCCACGACGATCCATCGGCTTCACTGACGCCAACAATGAGAACTGAGGGAAGAAGCGGCGTGGCAGGTACAGCCGGTACGGAACGGCGATCTCCACTCCGCGCTGAAAAACCATTTTGACTACTTACAACTGAAAAAGTATCTTCGCATAAAGAGTATCACATAACACTGTATAGAAATACACTTACACCCTATGACGCTTCAAAAAATCTCTTCTTGTGAGTTCAGAAAATCGTGTACTTTTAGGTATCACAAGAATGTTGACAATGTAGAACAAAATGCTAGCAAAATGTCGGAGATAGGATTGAAAACGGTGGTGTTAATTACTTATCCTAAGAAAAAGCAGAGAAAAACAAGCTGTCGAATAATTGATCAGAGCTATAAATCTCATTGCCGGTCTTTCCATCAGACTTAGTTCTTTATCGTCGCTCCAAGTCTCGTTCCCTGGATTGTTTCCATTTTTACTATCATCATGTATCTTTTTTATGCCTTACAATTTGTAGGCTTTCTCTCATGCTCTTTGCTCGAGAAACAGCTGTTCTATGCAATTTTGCCACAATTTTGCTATATATGACTAAAAAAGAAACAGTTGCACTGCAGAACAATTGCATGACATTCTCTATAAATGACTACTGAGGATATACTTTAAGCTATTTGTGGAGTCTGCCAACGGTTTGCCGCCTCATCGTGGCTGGGAGGTGTTCCTGGGTATCGGACTGCGATGTACTGCGAGGGATTCATTCCCTGGCAGGGTCTCCTAAACTAAGTCCGGTGTTTCCATCAGGAAGCCTAGCTAAGAGTAAACCAATACCATGTGCCGCCCTGGTATTAAAGTCGCATGGTCCTCTGATCGACAAGGGCTTCGACTGCCTGTAGTGGTGAAGACCTGGAGCAGACTTTGGCCACACTGGCCTCGGGATTCCAGAAAACCACAATGGCTTAGCCAGCAAATCTCAGAAAAATGGAGATTATGCTGGAGCCCGCACAACCAGTGAGGACGGGCCATCCAAGCATCAAATATCAAGTAAGTATTTGTGGAGCACCTCTGAAATATAAAAATAGGTGACTGCTGACGGCACTGATCGATAGAACTAGCTGAGAGACAGGCGAAACGAAGGACCCGCATGGTATGGTGGTGAACGCGTTACTCCCCGGAAAGGACAATAGCGCGTTCGTTCCCCACCGCAGACACCTGCGGTCCACAGTTTTGAAATTATCTCAACAATCTTTTGGTTGTATTTCGCTTAATGCCCTGCCATTAAAATTATAGAAAGCAGAAAATGAAAAGCAAAACTTTTTAAAAATAGAGTTTTCGTAGCCTGTGAACTCCACAGTTAGATACAGTATAAGTTGTCACTTTGGATCTTTATGTTCACGCTTCGATTCCTTTCCTTCGACTAAAAACCTGTGAGTTTTGGAGTTTTTGCTGAGACTCGAAGTTCTGAACATATCAAAGGAAGTTCGTTCGAATCAAATGGGGCAGTTTCAGAACTGGGATTCCGATGAAAGAAAATGTACGGTATTTCCTCGACTTTGAGAGCAGTGAAATTGACGGTATTTTGTGGTTGAGTGAACGTGATGGTGTGAGTTTCCAACTCATCATATTACATGATCAACACTTTTCTATGTACCACGATAGCCTTATTTTCATCCAGATCCATCCCACGTGGCTGATTTGATTAATGACAACAGAGATCCAAGCTAATGACTAGGCCAACCTCTGGCAAATTTGTCATGGACAGCACTCAACTCCTCCAACGAAGTACACTAGAATAATCTCGATGGACAGGAATAGAAATTTTCCGTCAATCTAAGACAAATGGTATAATTTTTACTTTATTCACATAACTATACATCAGATATTGTGCGGATCGCAGAACCTTTTTCATTCGATTCATTGTCTTGCATTCACTATCTACAAGGATCTTCGGACTTTCCTTTGGATTCGGCTCCTATTTAAGGATTTCATCTTCTTAATAAATGTAGTCGAACTCTAAGCAAATTATTCTTCCTGGATTGCTAGGTACGGCGTTCCAAGTCTTTCCCTCAAGTAGTATAGCCTTTGTGGACCGAAGGAAGCTTTTCCTAGACAAGCCTGCTTCTACTTTGCGACTACGGAGGGATAGGAGGCTTGATCGAACTAAGCTGCATCGTACCAAGGTCATATTCAGTGTCACCTTTCACCACTGTTCTATCCGTAAAATAATTACTAGCCACGATTTTTCAGTTTCGATACAGCCAAAAGCTATGAGGGCATTGTCTCATTTCAATAAATGAGCTACGATTGAGCTCAAAATCACTTGGTCTAAAAGATGTAAAACTACTGCTTACTACAATTTTTCACGGCAGGGTATTTTGTGAAATACAACCCCAATTATGCTAAGATATTTGCAAGACTCTAAACCGCAGGTGTCTGTGATAGTGATCGAACACTCTATTACACTTCCCGGGGCCAACACGTTAAGCACCACACCATGCTGATGGCACTGGTAGATAGAAAAACTAGCCAGAGAAAGGCGAAACGAAAGACCCGGATGGCGTGGTGGTGAAGACGTTAGCCACCGGAAAGGGTAATAGCTGGTCTCATCTCCATCGCACACAGCCGGAGTCTTGCAAATATCTCAGCATTGTTGTGGTTGTAAAGAGATAGACTGAACTTAAGTTGTAACACGCTTCTAAATGCTGACAGAAATTTGTTTTTATGATAGACTGGTGATGATGGAAACGGTTCGTGATGGGTGTACTGCAAATAGCGACATATGAATCATCTCTACCCTTAGAACGATCGAACAAATTTTCTTTTGTACAAGTCAGAGGTGTTCTACTCCGTAAAGGCCTCTAGTTGTGGAAAAATTTTGTACTGTCTGAAAACCAGCAAGTTCGTAGCCGTTGAGTCATTGACTCATTTGAACGTTGGTGGTTACGTGGTAATAACACCTGCGTGGTTAATGCGGTTGCTATCACACTACGAAGCTCGCCATTATGACGGAAATATCAAAATAATTCGAATAATTGAGTAGAAGGACCAGTAAGAAGTGCTTTCGAATCGCAAGAACACAGAATTTGAAGAGGTCTCGATACCGTGCACTGTTCAAACATACCTGAATACCGATGGCCGGCAAACTGTCAATGCCTTTCGCTCTGAATACCCGGGGATCACTGTTGAGAGCACTTTCAACCGGAACCAGTAGATCCACTTCTGTTTCGCCATCTACAACAGGGCATTTTAAAAAGAGCCCGTTAGTTTTTTTGCTCAAAATACGTTGAATAATGCTTTGATCGATATCGTAAAACTAGTAGTAAGCAGTTCTTTCACATCTGCTAGAGAAAAATGTCTTATTGGAATTTTTGGTGTTCAAAGGAGGGATTTCGGGCGTCGGCAAAGAATTTAGTAGAGTATACCAGTGAGGATGGAAAAATTAAAGATGGAATATCGGAAAATTATTTCTTGCTTGGGACAAGCTTCGAAAAAAATCAGTAGGGCCACAGAAAAAAATCTGAGTTTAAATTTCTCCTGAGGAAAAGATCGTGTCTTGCAATTGGAAGTAGTCCATCGCACAATGTAAACATGGTTGTTGGTTCAGGTCGAACCAACGTATCGCGCTAACCGAGCCCCCTATCTAATCCCTATATGCTTGAAAAATTCACAGCAGAGTTGTCTTCAAGCACACAGACATTCATTTGACTGATTGGTTGGCTCCTGAGCCATTGAACACATCATTTATGCCTTCAACTACCTCTTCGATTATACGAATAGATCACACGACCAACTTTCTATTAACCTCGGCATTGATCAAATAATTATTTATATTCCTGTTGAGCAAACGCGAGGTGCTATTTTAATACGAAGAGATACGAATAGAGTCGATTGCATGGAGCATCCACAAGGGGTTGACCAGCGTTAGAGTCTGCGCTTTACACTGAGAAGACATGTTTACTCATTTTCTGTCTTCCTACGTTATTCCACTCATATTCTCGTGCCTTAGTTCACTTATCGTGTTCGATTGACTTCCGAGGCAAGCACAACCATAACAGCCCTCTCACATTCCTACCTTTTTGTAAGCTTTTTTCTCATATCAACTCGTTCAAATCTCAACACAAGAAGGATGGGCGGATGCGATAAGGTTGATGGTTGCAGCTTCGAGTTACATTTTGTAAGATTAAATGGATTGAATGCCATCAGCTATCGCGTCTCATTATAAAATTACACAGATCAAAAAAGCAATAACAGAGAGGAAGAGTGAAAGAGATTAGGGAAAGTGAGAAAGAGACAGAGTGAAAAAGAAGTTAGAGTTATCAAAGTTGTTGAAAAAATGTTCAGTTTTCTATTTAATGCCTATCATTTATCCACGGTAAGGTACTATGTGAAATACAACCATATGATGCTGGGATATTTGCAAAACTTGGACCGCAGGCCAGATTCGAAGCCTTGATTACCTTTTCTGAGGGCTCACTTGTTACCCACTGCGCCACTGAGACCCTTGCTTTGTCTTTCTCACAGCCAGTTTCTTACCTAAGATTGGAAAAAAAGTACCCCATAATAAACGATGAATGAAATTTACCGTAAAAAAGGTCGAAGCAGTGTCGTCAAAAAATCAAAGCAACGCTTTTGAGAGCACTACAAGAAGCTTTCTTTGCACTTCTTTGTTGCCTACGAAGTTTTTCTTTTTCCTTTTTGGAAAAATAGAATACAATAAGAAACTAGGGCAAAATGGATTTCACGTTCAAACTTCAGACGTTTACAAATAGGTTTGTAGAATTTGTATAAAGTCAGAGGGATCGTCGCAGTAAAGCTCTGTTCTTACTCCTAACGCTGTCGGCCAGAAGTCGACAATTTGGAAAAAACTGCTAGAACTTTAAAGTTAGGGAATCCTCTGTTTATATCGCTGACTCCCAAGGTACTCAAGCGATTTTCAAGAAAAAGTGGTGAGAAAACACTAAGAACGCTTCTGCCTGACTCATATGCGATGAGGACAGGAAAACCAGGCGGAAATCACTTGCAGCCAATCCCTAGCTTACTAATAGCATATTTCCAATATGGAGAGAAGCCCTTCATCTCAGGAGTAATCCATCAATGCAGACGACATTCTAGTGGCCGTGAAAACGCTCAGATTTGCCGCCCAATGTTAAATGAGAAATGCTTTCGGCCAGAAAAACGCGTATTTGAAAGAACGTCAATATCCTGTAAAACAGCGATTTTCATTATATTTAATTGGCTAGATGAAATATTGACCACTTCCTCTTGATAAACTATTTTCTTTTGGAGTTATCTTGTGACGAAGAAATCCTGAACATCCTGAACCCATCTAAACCATATACACATCAAGATTCGTGCTGAACTCCGCCGAAGCCACTTTACACTCAGAAGTGCCAGCAATTGAAGTCTCGCTTCGATGGGTACTCTTCACTAAGGCCATCAATGGTTAACACGTCCTAAGAACACTGGCATCTCATCCACATCCAGACCATCCAACAATCGACGCTGTTGCTCAAGCAAAGCGAAGCAGCAGTGAAATATCGTCCATTGTGCGATCGGCTCTGATGCTGACTGCGATGAGCTATGAGGTATTCCATAAGGTTTTCCCTGGAAAATATGAAAAAATGCACAAAAAACGATATGGTATCTTATGAACTCCATTATTTCGTCATATGTACGACCGCTTCAGTTAACTTGAAATAGGACGACTATTCCATCGAATTTGTTCCGGAAAGAGTAAAGCAGGAGAAATGATGGCTGTCAAGCTCTATATTCATTAAAAAAACCTTTGATGCAGTTTTCTGACGATGATACGGTATGATAGAGCAACTTTTTGGTGAAGTAATTAATACCTTTTGAAAAAACAATGTGTCTAAAAAGCACAGAGAAGATTTCAAAGTAGTGCTTAAAATTGGCCTCCTATAAGCAAAATTGCTAAAACCGATTAATTAACCGGCCTAAATAACCGAAACGTCAGCTTAATCGTGAACAAAGAATAGTAACACCTCGCGTTTGCTCAACAAAAATACGAAGTAAAACCGATTATTTTTAGTAAAAAAAAAAGGTCTCTTCCTCTGCCTTGCCACTCGCGCCCAACACACATCGTTCGTGACTGGACAACAAGTTGCAAGAACACTGATAAATGGATGCACCTACTTTTCTTCTAAAATTGTCTCCATAGAGGTCGCTTGTTCTTTCTTCGTAGTGAAATTCAGTGTTTTTCCTTCTTTATAAAAGAAAACTCTTCGAAAAGAAGAAGAGATTTTATCCTGAGGATGATCTCCTTCTAGTAGAGCTTCAGCTGCTCGAGGCGATAGGCCGGATTCATTAGCGCTTGCGTATTCCGTGGACGTCGACTGGAAGACGATGGAATCTCTCTGACACGCACTAATCTTTTGTCACAATCATGAAGGTGGCAACCAATTCGTATTGTTATTTGCCATAAACTACGTATAAGTTTGTTTAGATTGTTCAGCTTATACGAGGTTGTTATACAACTTTTAGTCGGCTAATGTTTCGATCTACCCTTCTTCTTAAGAGCAGGAATGATCCGAGTCGATAGTCTATGTTCGTCCTCGCGCTGTACATCTCCATAGTTGTACCGAGTCTAATGTTGTGGACTAAGCACTGGTCAGAATAAGATTCGTCTCGACACGACTTTGAAGAGCCACAATGTGAGAGCGAACGACCGAACGACTGCCGACCATCGACCCAAATCGAAACGTCGGCCGAAAAAAAAGCTATACAACAACCTCGTGTAAGCTGAGCAACCTCAGCAAATACACTGATAAGTCACGTCAATGTTAAATGGACGTCGGTTTAGTGAACTATGTGTATGTGGCTGTTTTCAATTGTTCCATAACAAATAGGCAATTGGGAAAAACCGTCGAACATCCATAACTTAGAACAACGCTAAGTTCTTCACATGAGATAAAAAAACCATTCGAGGATTCAACGCGCAATGGCGAAACGGTTTTCAGGTTTTCTTCTCCTGATTGATGGAGAACACCACAAGCCGCAAAATCCTTTTCAAATGTGTTTTCTAGTGAGATGAAAATTTGTTTGATGTGGGGCTGACTTTTTTCTCCGTCTTTCGGCCTTCCTTAGCTTTAGATAATTATGAGGTTGAAGGGACGTGCTTCACGAAGAAAGCTATTATACGAGTTTCTAATTGGTCATGGAAACTGCCATTTGATAGGGAATGATGTTCGTCTATTTCAAACTCATCAGTGACCATTCTCGTGGATAACCGTGGTAATCTCCAGGTGATGACTGCGAGGTTTTTTTAAACATAACCGAAAACTGTTGTCTACAAAATTCCAAACAGTATTGTTCCTCCGACCGAACTATCAGAATGAGTATCACGAGACGTCTACATTTCTTCCAATTTCGTACTTTTCATCAAGCACTACCTCTGACTGACTTAATTCGGCAATCAAATCTTCAAAATCATTTCCTCCATAAATGCCTCTTTATAGAATAACGCTTCTCATTGCTACTAACTACCCGTACTGAAATCTGATGCATAAGTGCCTCATCGTGTTTCTGCTTCTGGTCTTGTTCATTGTTTTGTAAAGAGTAGAAAACGGAGAGTCCTTGGTAAAGACTTGATCATAATAGGATTCAGTCAGCACTTTTCACGAAACGACAAGTTTTTATGAGCATATGAAACGCAGCATGCACATTTAAAGTTATTGAAACGCGGTCTTAAGTCATAGGACGTGGTAGAAACTAAATCGACTTTAATATAAAAGCGACCGCGTTGCTGTGCATGAATTCCAGTGCATATTATTCCTTCGATTGTCTACTTTGCCACCAATAGTTTATTAGACAGATTTTTTTGTATTCTACCGTTAGACTACCCACAGATGTTAGATGTTGTGCCAGATATGACCCATGAAAAGCTACTCTCCACACCAAACTATTTCCAGAAAACCCTTCTAGGACGAGTTTTTCGATTCACAGCGCTCGCAACGGAAAATTTGACGTAGTTTCTCAAATGGTTGATGAAAAAACAGCTTTACATGTAGGCTGCTACGTGTCCACCTGATCTTTTTCATGTTTCTTGTTTTTCACTCTTCCCTAAACAGTCTTTGCTTTACATAGTTTGATGGAAGGGAGTTGTATCCCATAGGAGAGGAATTATGCCGGCGTTCATGTAATGAATGCACTACCTAAAAAAGTCGTTCTCAAAGGAGAGATTCTTTCCATCATCGGATGTTCGAAAATATGAATCTGACGTTGCAAAAGATTGAAGAAGAAAATAAAAAGAGAGGAAGAAAAAAGTGAAAGCATATGCAATATGGAAGAGGGTAGGGAAAAAGAGGATATCGAGACATAATGATGGAAAGAAAGAATGAGAAAGAAAAGGCGAACAGATACCGTAAGAGAGGAAATGACAGCAAAAAAAGAGATGAATCAGCTGTGAAAGTAAGAAGAGAAAAAGCGCCGAAATGAAGAAGGAATGGGAGAAGGTCTGAAAAGAACAATATGACCCCGAGTAGGAGTTCTGAAATCCTGGTAATAGAATTTCTACAGTTCGGATACAATAAAAATTGGCGTCAAGGTTCTTCAACAGAATTAATTGTGTTTTCAAAAACAGTGAATTTGATCAAGGTCAGCGACGATACCCTTGAGGTAAAACCACGTCTTCCTCGATTTCGTAGAAATTACTAGTTGGAGGAGATTGCTCTCCGTTGAATTGTAATAATACATATTTCAAAAAGGAAATGGAACGAGGTGAGTCAGTTCCCTCATAAATCATGGTCAACCAAGCATTTTATGAGGCTTCTAACATCTGAATAAAGTAGTCAGACAAATGAAGCAATCATTTCACTAAGAAGGAATTTCTTCTCTTTGGAAAACAGAATCGGTGTTTTGCTCTTGGCAAACTTTTGAATTTAACATTTTCCCATGAAATTAACCCTGGAAATTCCGTTAAAGGTAAACCTCTCGTTTTCGAATTTCATTTATCTAGCGAATAAAAGAGGATGCAAGGATTACGTAGTATTGCTGTCGCTTCCAATATTCCTCATCTCATTCTTGGCCGAAGGTGGCCACATATCTTGGTGAAGGAAGTATTTCAAAAGATAGGATAAAAAAGATAAAACTCTTGGCATTGATCAACCTCCGAGAGATGTCCCATGCATTCGACTTCATTAAGCACCGTTTGAAGATGACTGAATGCATATCTGGCCTTTACAATGACTCATGGTAGCTTACCGATGTATCGAGCCAATGCTGCTATCCTCTCAGACAAGTCCGCTACCAATTTTCCGACCCCAGAGGGATGGAAGGCTTGGTGGGTTTCGGGCGCGGAGATAGATTCCACGTCTGTGCTGCAGGTCGCCTCCGACCATTACGCCACGTGCGCTCTTTTAAAAGATAGATGGTATCAAAATATCTACATCGACTAGCGAATGCTTGGTAAATTTTTCGATCATAAATGTGCCTCGCAGAGCATCATCGTCTCATCGTAATCGGCTCAGCGTCGTCGTTTACGACGTAGACAGCCTTCGAGAAGAGAACGACACGGGGACGGTGATAGCGATGAGGATGTTTGTGATGATAGTGGCGATGTAATGTGAAAAGCCAGAATCCTACAGAACTCTTCTGGTAATTGTCAGTCCATCTGAGTGAATGGATCCGTTAGAAGATTTAATGAAGTAAAATTCACGAAACGCAGCCAATGAGCGCCGAAACGTTTGTTAGTGTCGAAACCAGAGTCCATTTATATCTGAACAGAAGTTTCACATTCTAACAGGCTAACAATATTGCACAGAATCCTGCGTAAGCTTGTCATAAACGTCATAAAAATTTTGATTTTTGTTTTCTTATGTGGTTCAGTCACTGGGTTGAAGGATGAATGTTGCTATTGTTCTTTTACTCACATATTAAACATAAACTATATTCTCTCCTATTCTTAGGTCCTGCTTCTGCATCTAAAAAAGGCACTTAAAAATTAGAAAGTTCGAAAAACTCGAAGGATTGGTGTCGTACAAATTAAATGACAGTGAATGTAGTCGTCCATTTGAGGCGTCTTTGGCGCTTCTTCTGCGCAAGAATAGCGACCCGTTCCTGAACCGTATTCTGAGTTGCTACGAGAACTGGGCCCTCGACGACAGCTGGCAACGATTGGCTGAGTGATTGAAATATGGTAAAGCTCCGCAGCACTTTGGAAAGCCGAAACTGAACCAAAAAGGTCATTCTGACCATTTACTGGCTTGTTGCTGATTTAATGCATCGGCGCTTTTGAACCCAGGCGAAACGACTACGTTGGAAAAGTATGCACGTCCAGAAAATCGACAAAGCTAACCAAAAACTTCAATGGGTATGCTCCTCATTGGTCTACAAAAACGGACCTCCACGATATCGAGCGAACATATATCGCATTATCGACACTGCGAAAATTGAATCAATTGAGTTATGAAACTTCGTCATCTCATATCCCATCACTCGAGCGTAAATAGTTATGTATAACACGTCTTTCATCAAATATAGGAAAGAAAGGACACGCATGGTGCGGTGGTGAACGCGTAGCCCCAGGAAAGGGTAATAGCGCGTTCGTTCCCCACCGCAGACACCTGCTTTCCGGAGTTTTGCAACAATCTCAGCATCGTTGTGGTTGTATCATAGACGTGATGCTCTATCATCAAAAACTG